AGCAGAAGCTGTTTGAGACTCGTGCTCGCGCAGGAGCATTTCGTGAGGTGCAAATGAATTGTGATCATCAACAACTCGAGACACTCACCCTCGACTATTCTGAGCTTTCTAATAAGATGTAGAAAGGTAGTTAATTGCTTTGATATCTCTCAGTACCATTCTGGACTTCTCTTTTGGCATTTCACGGTTCCTTTCTAAATGACGTCTTCCTCTGATTTTTTGACTTTCAGATGGCAACCATAATCCTCCAGTTCACACAAGTCCGATCCTCGAGTCATCTACAACTTTGGCTTTGCCAGAAAAGGTTGTTTCAGATCTTTTGCCGACTGAATTAAAGACACTGGAATGTTCGAATATCAAAATGGAATGCGTTCCTTCGGAGCTTGCTGTTTCAGCCGAGTGAGTCACTGTTGTTGATTCTCCCGGTCCTCTTACTTCCCCAGTTAGAGCGAAGGTGCAGGATAGGTCAACCCAGTCTTGTAACAACATTTTGCATTTTGAAGGTGCAAAACGCATATCAAGCATCGTGACACTAGCACACAAATCATTTAAAAAAGCTTGCAACTTACCTGAATGTTCACCTAACAGTATAGTGTCATCTGCATACTCCAGATCAGACAGTTTGCCCCCTGGAAGCAAATTGGTCCCACTATCCTCGCACACGGATTAGGTTATTCTCAGAATCAGATTCATTACAAAGAAAAGAAACACGAACACCAATTACTGTAGTGAACTCGGGTAAAAGTACCGTAAACTCAGATTCAGTTTTGGCTGTTAGTATAAAGAAGTCAAAATAATAAATTAACTTCTCGCGCACTCAGTGTACAGATAGATTTATAGCGATCGACTGAGTCGAAGGCAACTTCCAGATCAAGGAAGAAAATATTGTAAGTCTACGAAAAGCATGTCTGGGTTATAGAATTAGGCCAAGAGTGAGAATGTGGTCCATACAATATCAACCGGGTCTTAAAACAGCCTGATTCTCACACGTGCACCGTTCGCGTGTGGAGGACAATTGACACCATTTCGTCTGTTCGCTGAGCTTGGCAATTTGTTTGCAAACGTTTCATCACCAACGGAGGTGACATCATGAGTGCTTTGGAAGCGATTCTTGATGTCCTGGCGTATCAAATTTCGGCGTCTGAAGGACTGTTTATGCGAGCGTCCAGCAGGACAGCTCAGGTCGAGGAGATCCATCTTTTGTGCTTCGACGTTAGGTGGGAGAGCTCTGTTTCAAAGGCCGACTTGCAACTGACCGTAACTTGTATGCGAGAAGTACAGGATTTGGTTTGATTAAATGATGAACTCGTTGTGTAAATGAAGCGTGGGGTGAAAAGCCAGGAGGTACCGAACAGTTGTTTCGACCTGGTTAGATCTCATCTCCATTGTGAATTCATTGAACCCGGGCCTCACAGGTTTAACGAAAGCATATTACCCACTCGACCATCGGGCAGCTGATCAGACAGTTTTTCTTTTTAAATATACACGGTGTAGCACATGGCCACATATTGCCTTTCCAGCGAATTCTTTGCGGTTGATAGTCGTAGACCTAGATTTTGATCTTGCCTTACTTGGTGACAATGCACTGGCATGTCAAAACACTAAATCGCTTGGCAATTGAGGTTGCTTGTCATGCAATGTCTTTTGCACTCTCAACATAGAGGTAATGACAGGAACCTGTTGCTGCAATTACATTGAGTGGTGACACCCTAGAATTAGTCAAGAGCTTTGTCTGCTTCGGGAGTTTTATAGTTACGTAACCCAATAGTATGTGCACAAAATTTTCTTACTCAATCAGTCAAACTGCCATGAACCTGATTTCCCACCCCACCCTCTCCCACGCTTCCCTGACTATGGTCCGTTTTACCACTAGTTATCAAAACTTGCTTGTATAAATACCAGATTGTTTTACGTTGTAGCGAC